GAACCACTGGCCATCGACTACATTCGTGTTGGTGAGAGAAGGTTATTAGCAGATGATTCAACGGCTCCTTAGAAATTTCTGCAGCACTTCGTTATGAAGCCCAAAAAACTCGCAACCTTCAGAAATTTATATCCAGAACTCCAATTGGTGAAACGATCTGCAAGTCGGATATGTTGTAGCTTGTAACTTTAGCTTTCCTAATCTGCCTTAGGAGAAATTGACAGTCCTCAGAGTCACAAATATTGAAGCTTACAAGCTTACAATCATGATGGAAACATTGAAGCACAGTTGGAAGATGGGGACGGAAGGGAATGATAAAAGGGAAGGACCCTAGAGGCCCTTGGTCAAGAACATGACAAGAGTCAAAGTCTTGACTCCCTATCCTTAGGTTCAACCAGCCTGGCAAGACAAAATTCACACTGTGCCAGGTTAGCATCCAAACCCCAAATGCTGCAGCTGCAAGGTGAAGACAAAGGTCCCACACATGCTGGTCCCTCCTTGTTATAGGGCACTCTAACTTTGGTGTAGCAGCTGCCAAGGACTTCCAATACGTTGTAACAAATCCATCAAATGTTTCTTTGTAACTTCTTCACTTGTGCTCTGATTCCAATCATTCTTGGCTTGATGGAATGTGCTCGATGTTACGCACAATCCAAGCACATATGCACAAGCACAAGATGAACATGCAAACCCAACAAACCATGCAAACAACGTAGCACACGAAACACATGCAAACGAAATGATGCAAACAGATGACAGGATGACGTACAAACCAATATGCACCAACACACTCCCCCTCAGACTGTCGGCTTGTCTCGTAGTCTCTAGTTCAAGGATATTCCTGCCATCCTCGCACAGCGCTAGTGTGGCTCTTCAGCTAGCTGCTTGGTAAGGAAGTCGGCTGCCTGTTGCTGAGTTTTCATGTAGATCGGATCTAGTGTCCCAAGCTTCACCTCCTTCCGCAGCCACTGCAACTTGATCCTCATGTGCTTGTTCAGCCCATGTAGAACCGCATTGCGTGCCATAGCAATGGCTTCCTTGCTGTCACTAAACAGTGGTGCCACACAAGTTTGTTCATGTCCGATCTCCTTCAAGAGCCTTCTTAGCCAGATTATTTCTTTTGCCGCATGAAACATCGCCATGTAGCAGCTGACAAGGACTTCCAATGAGTTGTAACAAATCCATCAAACATTTCTTCGTAACTTCTTCATATGTGCTCCGATTCCAACAATTCTTGGCTCGTTGGAATGTGCTCGATGTCATGCACAATCCAAGCACATCTGCACAAGCACAAGATGAACATGCGAAGACATGCAAACCCAACAAACCATACAAACAATGTAGCACACAAAACACATGCAACGAAATGATGCGAACACACGACAGGATGACGTGCAAACGAATATGCACCAACACACTCCCCCTCAGACTGTCGGCTTGTTTCGCCGTCTCTAGTTCAAGGACATTCCCGCCATCCTCGCACAGCGCCAGTGTGGCTCTTCAGCTAGCCGCTTGGTAAGGAAGTCGGCTGGCTGTTGCTGAGTTTTCACGTAGATCGGATCCAGTGTCCCAAGCTTCACCTCCTTCCGCAGCCAATGCCACTTGATCCTCATGTGCTTGTCCAACCCATGAAGAACTGCATTGCGTGCCATGGCAATGGCTCCCTTGCTGTCACTGAACAGAGGTGTCGCACAAGTCTGTTCATGGCCGATCTCCTTCAAGAGCCTCCTTAGCCAAATGATTTCTTTTGCCGCATGAAACATTGCCATGTACTCAGATTCCACTGAAGATAGTGCCGTTTCAGACTGCTTCTTGGACCTCCAACTTACAGGCCCACCTCCCACCATGCAGATGTATCCACTAACGATGAATCCTCATGCTCAAAAGCCCATGTTGCATCAGCAAGGTAGGAAAGGAACACCTCTCCTTCTCCGAGCTGCTCCCCCTTCTCTTTGAGAACTTCAACTCCTTTCTGCCTGAGTTGAGCAGAGGCTGAATACTGTACTCCCACTGTAGGGTATGACTTGAGGTAACGCACCACTCGCTCCGTTGCACCATACTGCTCTTCTTTTGGATTTTGCACTACTCGAGCCAGCTGTCCAACAGCAAAACAAATGTCAGGGCGAGTATGCACAGCAGCGTACGGTTTGCTCCCGACCAGGGATTGGAATTGCCTCTGGTCTTCACTCTCAAATCCCTCTCTTTCAGATGCCTTTATGAGTTTGAACTCGGAAGGCAAAGGAGTAGCCACTTTCCGTTCTTCTTGCAGAGAGTACTTCTCAACCAAGGTCTTGATGTACTGTCCCTGATGCAGTTTGAGCCAGCCGCATTCAGCATCCCTCTCAATGTGCATTCCCAGGTAGTACCTTGCCTCCCCAAGTGACTTGCACTTGAACTGCTCTGTGAGTTTTCGCTGCACTCCATCGATCTCCTTGTCGCCCCTGCTGAAGTGCAGGATATCATCCATGAACACCAGCAGAAGCACAAGCAACTCCTCCTCGCCCATCAGGAATAGGCTCTCGTCGCATCCACTCGCACAGAATCCAATCGCTTTGAGTGCGCTCGCCAGCCTGTTGTACCAGCATCTCGGTGCCTGCTTCAAGCCATAGATGGCCTTGTTGAGTTTGCAGAAACGACCGGTTCCATCCTCATAGCTAGGTGGTTGTACCATGTACACCTCCTCTTCCACTATGCCGTACAGAAAAGCGGTTACGATGTCCATTTGCTTCACCTTCCATTCGCGCACAGCAGCTACCGCCAGCAGCACACGTAGCGTCAGAGACTTCGGAGTTGGCGCAAACACTTCTTTGTAATCTTCATTTTCTTTCTGCTGAAACCCCTTTGCCACCAGTCTGCTCTTGTAAACTGATGGCTCTCCTTTCTCATCCGTCTTGCTTCTTGCCAGCCACTTGCACTGTATTGTCTTTTTCCATTTGGCAAGTACACCAGATCCCGTGTGTGATTTTCCATCTGGCTATTGTACTCCGCATCTCTTGAAACCAGCCATTTCCCCCGTTGAGGCCCGGCTAGCGCATGATCCATGCTCGGAGATTGTACTGGTGCGTAAAAGCAGTATGCAGGCTCCTCGTCATCTGAGTCTTGGTCATCACCCAAGAACAGCACTTCATCATCGACTTGAGACTCTTGTTGCTGCTTAGTTATGGCTCCTCCACTTGTAGAGCTCAACAGCTTTCTCGTTGCCATTGTGGTACGTGCAGGGTAGATGGTTGGATTTACCCATTCTTTCACCTGAACCCAATCCTTTGTCCCCCCACCACTCTGCTTCCTCCGCTTTGGCAGACTTGGTGCTGTGGAGACAAGTTGCTGTTCCTGCTCTAGTTCTTTGACTTCAGCATCAGCTGCAATATCGTTATTGCTTCCTTCTTCAATACCGCTTGTCGTTGGCGCAGTGTCTTCGCTGTCATATGGTTTGGACAAGTCAAAGTGCATAGTGATTTGTTCCAACTGCTGGGATACCCTTGCTTCCGGCTGCTTCTCCCACTTTCCATACATGATGCTCTCCACGAATTTGACATCCCGGCTGTCAAATAGCACATTCTTCGAGGGCTCCCAGAGTAGCCACCCCTTGCTCTCTGCCGCAAGCCCAAGGTGCACACACCACAATGCAGATGCTCCAAGCTTTGTCCTGCACGGTTTAGGGACATGCGCCACTGCCATGCATCCGAAAACTCTCAGCATGCCCACTGGAGGCTTCTTTCCAAGCCACCTCTCCAGCGACACCCACATATCATCAGCCACCTTTGTGAGTACGCGGTTCCTTGGCACTGTAGCATGCCTCACCGCATGAGGCCACCTGGAGTTCCCTAGCTCTGATTCGATCAGCAGTGCTCGGGTAGTTTCCAAGATGGTCCTATTAGCCCTCTCAGCAACGCCATTTGACTGAGGTGTATAGGACATCATTAGCTGATGCTCAATGCCTTGTTTCTTGAGCCACGCAGTCAGATCTCCTCTTAGAAACTCACCACCTCGGTCGGTTCTGATGCTCTTGCACGGGCGCCCAGATTGTCGCTCGACGAACGGCAGCCAGTCATCTCATATTGTTGAGGCAGCATGATCCTTCTGCTTCAACGGGTATGCCCACATCAGCCGACTCCAGTCATCAACTATTGTCAGGAAGTACCTTTCCTCCTTACTTCCTCGAGTTGGAAAAGGTCCTACCAAGTCCATATGCACCAGTTCCAGTGTTTTCTTGCTTTTCCCAGCTACGTCGTGAAAGGGGAATTGTGTGAACTGGCTCAGCAGACACGTCTCGCACTTGGTATCATTTGGTTGCCCAGAAAGCTTCAGCCCCTTTACTGCTTCTTCCTTATGCAGTTGCTGCAGCAATGGCATAGCCACATGCCCTAGACGCCTGTGTGCAGTTTCCCAATCAGTCTCCCCCTACCTTGCAGAAACCGTCACTCCTGCAGCACTAACTGCGTTGCACTCCCCCTGGACTCCAGATCCCGCCTTTACGGCTCCCATCTCCTTCTTAAATGCTTCCCATATCATCGCAGGGATCTGTCACATCGATCTGAAGACATCTCTGCTTTCGTATAAATCCCATAACACACGATCTCCTCGCAGCCCCTTGAATATCTTGGATCCATTGGTGGTTGTGCTGACTCCAGCCTGACCTAGCTTGCGTAGGGATATCAGATTGGCCTTCAGCCCCAGTACGAGACACACATCCTTCAGCACAACCCGTCCACCATCGGTTGCTCTGAACGCAGCTCGATCTGCTCCAGTGACCTTCACTTCATGTCCAGATGCTGAGCGCACTTCGGAGATTGGAGGCGCTCAGACATCATCCAGCAAGTCCTGGCTTGGTGTCATTGTCCATGCAACACCAGAGTCCATGACCCACATGTCAAGCAGGTGCAGTTCTGTTAGAATTAAGGACGGAGTCTAGGTGAACTTAGGAGCTAGAATTACTCAAAATATAAATCCGAAATTCTGGACAGAAAAGTCGACTTCACAAGAAACGACGTCGACGAAAAACTAGCAGTTGGAATGTCGCGAAACTTGGATATGTTGTAGCTCTTAATCTCAGCTACCGTTCCCAATTTGAATCACGTTGATTGATGAAGTATTCGCGACGTTATGGCTTTCGACGCATTAGGGGGTAAGCTGTAGGAGGAGAACTTAACTCAATCTCAAAAGGTTCAATCAAAGTTCAAGAATCTCACAAGGAATTAGAAGGAGCAAGAGAAAGGTTGGGATAAGAAGAGAGGGATGAGAGGGAAGGTCCCAAGAGAGTCCCCAACCAAGGAAACCCCATAAGCACAAAGATTCCCTCCCTATAGGAACCTCAACTTTGACCTTTGTCCCTTCCCAACCAATCCATCCAAGTTGGCCACCCTTGCCAACCTAGCTTGGTTGTTCCCAACCAATTTGCAGCTGTTACAGTAGAGTGACAAATTTCCCCAACCCCAAAGGTCCCAACTCCATATAGAGTCACCCCACAACTTCACTTTGTAACCGCCGCAATTGTAACGCAAGCTCATGAACTTTGAATCTTCATAGCTTTCGCGTTCTTGCTCCGAGTGAAGCGATTCTTGTTGCGTCGGAAAGATCTTCTCAAGATCTATTATCACAAATACCTGCTCAAACAAAAATAACACAGAACACATTCCCAAACTCCAGAACACACCACACACAAATGCTTGCACATTCAAACCACACATGCAAGTTGAAAAAACATGGGATGGGAGGCAGACAGAATGTGATAGCATATGATGACATCACCCAACAATCTCCCCCTCTGGCTGCCAACCATCATCGACCATACCACATCTCAAGCATGCATACTCAATGCACACTCATCCCAGCAAGCTTCATGCCCTTCCAATGATCCGCCTCCGCCAGACGCTTAGTGAAAATATCTGCTGCCTGCTGATGGGTCTTCACTATCTCCAGCCGCACCTCCTTATCAAGGAGTCTCCTCACCCAATGCCACTTAGGCCTTATGTGTTTTGTCAGCCCATGCAGACAAGCATTCTTGGCCAGCTTCACTGCAGACTCATTGTCACAGAACACAACTGTCGGCTCCTCCTGACCAACTCCCAACTCCTCCAACAAACGCCTCAGCCATACCACTTCCTTGGCCCCATGATGTAAGGCCATGTACTCAGTCTCACATGAGGACAATCCCACCTCATTTTGCTTCTTGCTGCGCCAGCTCACAGCACCACCTCCTAGCAAGCACACATAACCCCCAATGCTGGTGCCATCCGCTTTCACTGAGTTGAAGCTAGCGTCAGTATAGCAACTCAAGAGCATCTCACCACTCTTCACATCTGCAGCACCTCTCTGCAACCGCTGCCTCACTCCACTGTACTCCAATCCCACTGATGCCGTAGCGCTCACATAGCGGACCAACCTCTTGGCCGCTTCCAGCTGCTCATGACTAGGGCGTGAGACCACACTAGCCAATCGTGATGTAGCAAATGCAATGTCAGGCCGTGTATGATTTGCAGCATAATTCAGCGACCCAATCATCGAATGAAACAGCTTCCTGTCACTATCACCCACTACCTCCTCATCAGCACATGGCTCCACAGTGAACCCCGAAGGTAGTGGTGTTGCTGGCTTTCCCCCATCTTGCAGCCCATACTTCTCAGCCAGCCCCTCACAGTACTTCCTCTGGTGCAACCTCAGCACACCCTTCTCCACATCTCTCTCCACATGCATCCCCAAGTAGTACTTCACCTCACCCATCTTGGAACACTTGAACTGCATCTCCAGCATCTGCTCTGCGCTGTCTAGCAAAGCAGTTGATGCAGAAAAGAGAAGGATATCATCCACATACACCAAGAGCATGAGGATTTCATCCTTCTCCTGCAGCAGGAACAGGCTGGGGTCACACTCACTCTTCTTGAAACCCCCAGCCAACAGCGCCTCCTCCAACTTGTGATACCATGCACGAGGCGCCTGCTTAAGGCCATAGATGGCCTTCTTCAGCCTGCAGACCCTGCCGCTCCCATCATCCAGCCCCTCTGGCTGCTTCATGTACACCTCCTCCAGAATGATCCCATTCAGAAAGGCAGTCACAATGTCCATCTGCCGTATCTTCCATCCCAGGAGTGCAGCTATCGCCAACAGCACCCTCAGTGTTGTTCCTTTCCCCACAGGAGCAAACACCTCATCATAGTCCTTCCCCTTTGTCTGCTGAAACCCCCGTGCCACAAGCCTAGACTTGTAGCGGGTCAGCTCCCCTTCAGGTCCATACTTGTGCTTGTAGATCATCTTGGAAGTGATTGCCTTCTTCCCAGGAGGCTAGTCACACAGGTCCCATGTCTCGTTTTCAATCAGGGACCCGAACTCCTCATCCTCACTCGCCTTCCACTTCTCCCCATTTGGTCCATTCAAGGCCTCTTCTCGAGTCTTGGGCTCAGGGATTGGTGCCCAGTAGCAGTGAGCGATCTCATCTTCCTCAATCTGCTCAACCACACTCCCAGCCTGCACCACATTCGGCTTGCCTCTTCCCCCATAGGTCAGCCTCACCGGAGGGCGCACATCCCTCCTAGGTCGCTCAGGCGGGTGTGGAACTCGAGATGGAGACTCATGCTGCTGCTGCTGGTCCACCTCAGCTGCTCCCCCTTCCTCAGTCACCCTAGACATCTCCTCCTCAGACACTGCAACCTCCACCTGTCTTGAAGGCCGCTGCACCTCATCTACCTCCACAACGAGCGGTGTAGATGGAAGCTTCTGTTGCTGCTGCTTCCATTCCTTGTAGTACAAGGACTCAAGAAACTTCACATCCCTTGACACTGTCAGCTTCTGGGTGGTCAAGTCCCATAGCAACCATGCTTTGTGATCCTTTGCAATCCCCAAGTGCACACCCCATCTTCCAGAAGCCTCCAACTTCCCCCTTTTCTCCTTGGGCACATGAAACACCACCATGCACCCAAATGCCCTCAACATGTTCACAGCTGGAGCACTCCCATACCACTTGACATATGGGATCCACTCCTTATCCCCAACTGTAGCCAGCACCCTGTTCTTCACAAGGGCGACCTGCCTCAGTGCAGACACCCAAAACGGATCAGGCAGCCCTGCACGCCCAAGGAGAGTGCGTGCCCCCTCCTGCAGGGTCCTGTTGAACCTCTCAGCCACGCCATTCTGCTGCGGGTTGTAGGGCACTGTCAGTTGATGCTGGATCCCCTTCCTCTTCAACTCCCCCTCAAAATCAGCTCCAATGAACTCCCCACCATTGTCACTACGGATCACCTTCACCTTGTGTCCGCATTCCCTCTGAGCTCTCGGCATCCACTCCTTAAGGACAGCCGCTGCCACCTCCCCCTTGCTCTTGAGAGGGTAAACCCACACTGCCCGAGTGTGGTCATCCACAATTGTCAAGAAATAGCGGCTGCCTGAGAGGGAAGGGGCTCTCGTGGGCCCCACCACATCCATGTGCACAAGTACAAGTGGGGTCTTGGCTGGTCCTGTAGTGCTGTTGAAGGGGAACTTAAAGAACTTGGTCTCCAAGCATGTAGGGCAGCTCCCAATCTCCTTCAATCCCCCCTTTACCTCCAATCCTTTCAGGCTCCCATCCTTCACCAACTTCTGCAGCATAGGGAAGTTCACATGACACAGCCTCTCATGCCATGTCTCCCAATCGGCCTCTCCACTCCTTGATGAAGCCTTAGCCCATGCCGCACTTGCATCCACACCAGCAAGCACCTCACCATGTGTCTGCTGCTGCTGCACTTTCTTGACTGCTTCCAGGACCCCATCAGTTGGTGCAGTTGCATCTCCTCCTGCTGTTACCTTTGCCGCTGCTGCCGTTGCTGCTGTTGGAGTCTTCCCATTCCAAGGGATGATGGGCAGCTGCCACAGGTCCTTGATGCAGCTGGTCTCCTCTTCCAGACTCCACAGCACCTTCTTCCCAAGCTTAGCACGGCAGCTGGTTGGTCCAAAGATCACTTCGGCCTTACTCTTCTGCAGTCGCCGCACAGAGAGAAGGTTAGCAGACAAGCCTTTAACCAGCAGAACATTCCCAAGCCCCACAAGCTCCCCATTAGCTCCCTTAACCTTGGCATTCCCAACACCAATCACGGGGAGCAAAGCACCTGACGCTGCTGCCACATACTTAATCTTCCCAGGGGGTTTTACCTCATTAAGCAAATCTGCCCGTGGAGTCATGTGACTGGTGCAACCCGAATCAATCACCCAGTGCGTGAGAGGGTGCATCACAACCTTTCCCACAGATCCCACATCACCCTCATGCCCATGCACATCCTCAACCATGAGATACATCCCAGGATAGGCGTTACCTTGTGCACCTGAGCCTTGCACAGCGCCACCTTGTGCGCGTTCACCACTTGGCGGCTTCATGCCTGGAGGTGACCATCCCTCCGGCCTGCTGAAGCACTTGAACCAAGGATGCCCGACCTTCTTGCAGTACCAGCAGGTGCCCTCCATTCTGGTACTCCCCCTGCCACTGGAGCTCCCATGCCCCTCATTATAGTCACCTCGGCCTCTACCTCTGCCAAAGCTTCTCCCACGGCCTCGGCCTCTCCAACCCCCTCTTCCTCTGCCGCGCCCTGCAGCTCCATACCCCTCAGCAGTCTTAGTGGCAGCACCGCCTCCCACATGGCGTCTGCGGAAGTCCTCCTGCAGAATCTGCTGCCTTAGCCACTCAGGTGTCCATTGATCTTGCTGAGAGTTGAGGGTGGGGATGAGGTTGTCCCAAGAGTTGTCCAACACCGAGATGATCTTGGTGCACTGCTGCAGCTGAGATACACTGCTACCCGCTGCTGCCATCCTTGCATAGGTGTCCTTGATCTTGTCAAGGACCGGCTTCACATCGTCCCCTGGTCGCATGGAGATGGCAGCAAGTTCCTTCTCGAGCACGATCACCATCGGGAGAGTGTTGGGCTGAATCACATCGCGTAGTAGTTTCCACGCCCTTGGACCCGAATCATCCGCTTCCACAAGATCCTTGATGTGCTCGAACATCTCCTTGTTGACCGATTGAAGGATGAGGTCAAAAAGCACCGCGCTTTTCTCAATCCACCGTTCACGTGCTTCGCCTTCTTCCGGCATCTTCTCCTCCCCAACAGCAATCTTCAGTAGCTTGTAGCGTTTGAAGGCACTCCTCATCCGCCCGCTCCATTCCTCATAGTTGGAGCCATCCAAAGCTTCAACTTTTGATGGCGGCGGCTCACTTGTCTTCTCAGCTACAGCTCCTCTTCCATTAGCATCTCCTCCTCTCTCATTCATCTCCTTCTTGAGAAATGACGAATTTCAGCTCCCCTTTGCTGTCCACACTCAGCTCCCTCGATATTTTCACAAGTGTCGGCGTCCACGAAATTTCGGCAGAGTTTCCCCTTAGCGGAAGACACATCCAACCTTTAGAACACCACTTAGGCACACCCACAGGCCATGGTGGGTCTAGAAGGGTCTTCAAACTTCTGTAGACTCCTCTCAATGTCCTTAATATTGCTCTGATACCACTTGTTAAAATTAAGGACGGAGTCTAGGTGAACTTAGGAGCTAGAATTACTCAAAATATAAATCCGAAATTCTGGACAGAAAAGTCGTCTTCACAAGAAACGACGTCGACACAAAACTAGCAGTTGGAATGTCGCGAAACTTGGATATGTTGTAGCTCTTAATCTCAGCTACCGTTCCCAATTTGAATCACGTTGATTGATGAAGTATTCGCGACGTTATGGCTTTCGACGCATTAGGGGGTAAGCTGTAGGAGGAGAACTTAACTCAATCTCAAATTGTTCAATCAAAGTTCAAGAATCTCACAAGGAATTAGAAGGAGCAAGAGAAAGGTTGGGATAAGAAGAGAGGGATGAGAGGGAAGGTCCCAAGAGAGTCCCCAACCAAGGAAACCCCATAAGCACAAAGATTCCCTCCCTATAGGAACCTCAACTTTGACCTTTGTCCCTTCCCAACCAATCCATCCAAGTTGGCCACCCTTGCCAACCTAGCTTGGTTGTTCCCAACCAATTTGCAGCTGTTACAGTAGAGTGACAAATTTCCCCAACCCCAAAGGTCCCAACTCCATATAGAGTCACCCCACAACTTCACTTTGTAACCGCCGCAATTGTAACGCAAGCTCATGAACTTTGAATCTTCATAGCTTTCGCGTTCTTGCTCCGAGTGAAGCGATTCTTGTTGCGTCGGAAAGATCTTCTCAAGATCTATTATCACAAATACCTGCTCAAACAAAAATAACACAGAACACATTCCCAAACTCCAGAACACACCACACACAAATGCTTGCACATTCAAACCACACATGCAAGTTGAAAAAACATGGGATGGGAGGCAGACAGAATGTGATAGCATATGATGACATCACACAACAAGTTCCTCTCCAGCCTTTGCGATAGTTGTGTCACAATTGCCCTCATCATACACATGGTAGAACTGTCTAGCGTCCCTCTCCTCATTTCGCATTCCTTCGTCATCCTTGGAGGTTTCTTCAGCAGGATCAGCTACCATGTTGGCACCTTCATGTGGTTGCTTTCCTCCATTCCCCTTTTGCGATTGGTTCCAAGGTGTCCACCAGTCGGGCTTGGTAAGTAGCGAAACCATGTGTGCCCTTCTTTCTTGCCATACCAGTGGAAGGCGAGCTGCTCGAGGCCCACATTGCTATTGCTAGTGAGCTGCCATCCCCCCCCCCCCCCCCTTCCTGCATCTCTTGCCGCCGACGCGATATCGGTGCAGCATGAGGAGTACGTAGCTGCTCAGACTGCCCACTCCATCTGGTTGGCTCATAACGCTGCTGCGCTACTGGCCATCATCTGCTGATTGTCGGTCAACGAGCAGGCGCACTTTGAGTCGCAGGAGACGGTGAAGGCCTTCTGGGATGCAGTCATTGCCTGCTACTCGTCACTGTCCTTTGCCGCCCTCTGCCGCCTCCTCCATCCATTCCTCTTCCCCGACCTGGCCCCCTTCTCCACGGTCGCCAACCTCGTCGCACAACTCTGCAACCTTGAGGTACGCTACCGTGCTGCCTGCCCCGGGGCCGACCTTGCTGCTCACCCCCTGCCCACCTTCGTCACCCTCTACTTTCTCACCACCCGCCTCCCAGTCCACCTCGCTCCTACACGTAACGCTCTTCTTACACTAGCTCCCACTGCCCTCACCATCGACCACTTCTCCACCTCCCTGATGGAGGTCGAGACCCGCCTTTGCGCCATCACCGAGTCCACTATCGTGGTGGCGGCCCATGTCTTTTAGGGCTGCTCTCCATCCCAGGTCATTGTCTCTGGTGCCTTCGCTTCTGTCTCTCAGACCGCTGCGGCGGTCAGTGCACCTGGCCAACAAAGCGCTCGCATCGTCGTGGTGGTCGTGGGGCATCAGCAGGCGGTCGGGGCACTGGTAAGGCTCCGGGAGCTAGCAGAGGAGCGGGTGCAGATGAGGAGGGGGAGCATCAGCAGTGGCAGAAGCAGCAGTGGGGTCCTGGGAGTTCTGGGCATGGTGCGGGCCCTGAAGGTTGGCCCCCCGGGCAGTCGCTACCCTAGGGCTCGCGTGGTTGCTCAGGGGGCTAGGGTGGCATGGGGCCTAGGGGTTCCGTGCGCTGTACTTACCATATCCATAGTGGCCTCCTGCGCGGCCAGGTCTGCGGGTGCACGGGTCACACCGTCGCTCGCTGGTTTTGGTGCCTGGACGATCTGTACCATGGTCACTTTAAGCCCTAGGCGACCCTTCTTGAGTGGCCTGTCCTTATCCATTGCAGCATCCCGGTGTTTGAGTTAGAGATGGCTCAGATAGGTTCAACATTATCTTTGTAATCTGATGATACGGACGCTGCCACGGGCGCCCCTCTTGCCACCTTTGACTGCGACCCTGCGTTTGGTCTCTTCACACTGCACACATAGTCCCCCTCAGTAGCTGCGTCCACCCAGGTTGCCGCGTTCTGCTCCCGTCGCTCCCTCACCCATCTGGCACTCTTGTGCCCCGGTCATGAAGGTGGCTCGCACCTCCATGGTCCATGCTGGTGCCCCCCATTTTTTTGTGGCCGTTCGCGGTGCGCGACGTGGCTCACCAGCTTAACATGTGGTCTTGCTCCTCGCAACCACAAGTTTAGCCGACCCTCCTCTGGACAGGGTATCCTGGTGACGTGTTTGCATCATGTGGTCTCCACGTCTAGGACTGCTCAGCTCACATTCGTGCTCCCGGTGCGGACAAGCTCTCAGCCTGCACTCTCCCCTGTGTCTTCCTTGGTTTCCTGCTCGACGCTCCAAACTGGCTGTTGTACCACACGGGACAGCACCGCTACTTTCACTCTCGTAACGTTACGTTCAATGAGTCGGTCTCCTTTTATGCTCACTTTCCTCACCATGGCGCTCGTGTTCCCCCTCTCTTCTGCGCCCCTCCTCCGCCTGCCACTCCCCTCACACCTTGTCCAGTCCTGTCTGTTGTCTCCTACGCCACTCTCCTCCCCTCAGTTGGGCCTGTTGTGTGATGTTGTTATATGCCATCACATTTTGTCTGCCTCCCATCCCATGTTTTCAACTTGCATGTGGTTTGAATGTGTGCAAGCATTTATGTGTGGTGTGTTCTGGAGTTTGGGAATGTGTTTTGTGTTATTTTTGTTTGAGCAGGTATTTGTGATGATAGATCTTGAGAAGATATTTTCGACGCAACAAGAATCGCTTCAATCGGAGCAAGAACGCGAAAGCTATGAAGATTCAAAGTTCATGAGCTTGCGTTACAATTGCGGCGGTTACAAAGTGAAGTTGTGGGGTGACTCTATATGGAGTTGGGACCTTTGGGGTTGGGGAAATTAGTCACTCTACTGTAACAGCTGCAAATTGGTTGGGAACAACCAAGCTAGGTTGGCAAGGGTGGCCAACTTGGATGGATTGGTTGGGAAGGGACAAATGTCAAAGTTGGGGTTCCTATAGGGGGGGAATCTTTGTGCTTATGGGGTTTCCTTGGTTGGGGAATCTCTTGGGACCTTCCCTCTCATCCCTCTCTTCCCTTCCAACCTTTCTCTTGCTCCTTCTAATTCCTTGTGAGATTCTTGAACTTTGATTGAACTTTTGAGATTAAGTTCTCCTCCTACAGCTTACCCCCCAGTGCGTCAAAAGAAATATCGTCGCGAATTCTCCATCAATTGACGTGATTCAAATTGAGAATGGTAGGTAGGATTACAAGCTACAACATAGCCGATTTTCGCGACATTCCAACGTCTATTTGTTCTTCGACGTCGTTCCTTCTGAAGATGACTTTTCTGTCTAGAATTTCGGATTTATATTTTGAGTCATTCTAGCTCCTAAGTTCACCTAGACTCCGTCCTTAATCCTAACAAGGCCTGTAGGGGAGTCTACCGACTCGTCCCTCCCTGTGGCTGGGGGTGCGCCTGCCACGGCTGTGGCGCCTCTCCTATCGGCCGCGGTGGCCCCTTCACCTTAGCAGCCTTCCCCGCTGCCACCGCCGTAGCAGCAGTTGCAACAGCCGCATCGGCAAGGGCATGTGAACTCTGGGCGTGCTGGGTATGGGGGTGCTGGCCTTGGGGGTGCTGGTTCTGGGGGAACTGGTTCTGGGGGTGCTAGTCCTGGGGGTGCCGTCTCGAAGAGTACTGGCAGTGACAGTGGTGGGGCTGGGGGTTCTGGCGTGGGGTGGCAGAAACAACAGCACCAACCGCAGCTGCAGCAGCAGCCGCAGTCTGCCCTTTGTCTCCTTGGCCATTCCTCCGATTCCTCTAACCACCCGCCCGTCCGTCTTACAGCATCTCCCCTACGGCCTGCCCCAGTCTACGGGCCGCTGTTCCCTCCACCGGACTCTTCTCTAGCTCGTTTCCCCTCTCGTTCTCCTCCGTCCCCTGTCTCGTCCCCTGCTTCCCGCCTTCTTCACTGAGTGTGTCGTCCCCCTGGTGGCCGTCCTGTCTCTCCTCGTGCTTAGGTCCACCCCATGGTCCTTCGTTCCTGTGCTCCTCTTGTTCCCGTCCTGTCGTTACCTCCGCAGTCGTCCCTCCCGCAATCCCCTGCTCCTTTTTTTTACTCTGCTCGTACTACTCGTCCAGTCGTCTCCCATCTGCTTGCCTCGCTTGTCATTGACCCTACCGCTCCTTCTGAGGGTGTCTCTGCCCTTGTCTTAGCCACGAGCCACCGCCTTGACTACGCCTCCGCTCTGGTCTCTGATCCTGCCTGTCCTCCGCCCGTCGGGGGTGCACCTGCCCTTGGCAGTAACTTTCTATAGGATATGCAGTACGAGCTACCTTACGTTGCGGCTGCTATACCTCATCTCTGTGCCATGCTTATGTCCCCTAAGGGACCCAGACGCCCTGGACATCCCTACCCTGCTCGTACGCTGAGGCGGTTTTGGTGGCTTGGGCAACCCAGTGGATACAGGCCATGGAGGCAGAGATGGTACCTTATAGATCCACTGGCACTTCCGTCAACGCAGTTCCTCCACCTGGGGCGAATATAATCGATGGCATGTGACTCTATAACGTGAAGCACCTGACTGGATAGCCGCTGCAGTTCAAGGCGCGGTATGTGGCCAGGGGCTTCAGCCAGCGAGAGGGTGTGGACTTCTTCCATACCCTCCCCTACCTCGAAGATGACTACTCTTCAGTTGGTCCGTCACATAGCCGCACAGCGTAACTAGGAGCTCCACTCTCTGGAATTGCCGACAACCTTCTTGCAGGGCAGCCTACACGAGCAGATCTACCTGCGACACCCACCAGCAGGCCCTCAGAAGTCAGGCCTTCCTGAAAGCCTATCACGGTTGTTTTTAGGGCATACCCTTGTTTTTTCAGGTTTTGATTTTTCTCAAACCTGAAATTTATGTGTTCCCATTTTTTAAGACCTGAAAAACAGTATGTTCTTGTTTTAGCGACTCTGACGAATCAGCCTTAGTCAAAATTCGCCCTGAAACATAATTGTTTCTGCCAGGGAGAGCTGGAGCAAGTGTGAGGGCCGTGACTGGTCCTTGACCAGAATCACGCAAGTTTAGTCCAAGGCGAGCTGGGGCACATGTGAGGGGGGTGACAGATCCTTCGCCAAAATGACGTACCGGTTTCACGTGAGCTGGAGCAGGTGTGAGGAGTGTGACTGGGCCTTAGCCAAAAGCACAGGCCAACCCGCAGAAAGTGACGAACTGCAGATTCAATTTCGTTCAACTGGAAACCCACGGCGAAAGTTCGCAGCCCCTGCGACAGCACAAATATCATTTCGGGCAAATTACGAGGTGCTGGTTTGGGCGAAACTGCATTTGCTAGTGACACGCATGCACATGGCATTGCTTGCGACTTTCGCGATGCTGGGCACGTGCGCCCAAGTCTGACGCGAGGATTGAAAGT